TGAATGTTAAACTAAGCCCTTCTTTCCTGGCTTGTAAGGCAAAATATTTGATACACAATGCAGACAGTGACTCCTTGTTTGCATCTTCAAATTTAATTGACGGTAAACCCGTTGTCGACAAGATAACGATTCGTTGGGTGCAGACATTTATGGATGTGCAAGGACTTTTGATTCGTCGTCAGGCGGGCAGTCTTGCCGATAGCCCCGAAAAGCAACTGTTTATTGAAAGAACAGTTGCCTTCCACCTGGGGACATTGAAGAGAGGTTTCGAGTCCGGCGATCTAAATGAAGGTCTAGTAGAGAATACCGACGAGACGCACTTTGTATTTAAAATGGACAATGGCAGGACAGTTGGCTTTCGTGGCGATGAGAAAGTTAAATAATCGGATGTCGTCTCTGGCGACGAGGGTATTACCATGATGGTTCGAATTTCAAGTGGGGTGCAGGCAAGAATCGAGCCACCAATGCTGGTGTTTCAAAATCCAAACTCCTCTTACCCTATTAGAGGTGTTGAAGACAACGTACCTGGCGTCTGCTATCGGTCTGGAAAGAAGGGTTGGACGGACAACAGAGTGTTTCAGGCGTGGCTGTCGGAACCGAGGGCGATTAAGAAAGATAATTTCGGCAGAAAGCGAATTTTATATGTAGACAACTGTTCCGGTCATAATGAGACGAACGCAGTTTTAAGGCTCTTGCTCGAAATCAATACAGAGTTACGCAAGTTGCCTGCAAATGCGACTGACTTAGTGCAGCCTGCCGATTCGTTTATTATCTCTAAAATTAAGGATGCATGGAGAAAGCGGTGGGACGAATATAAGGTTGGTTTGATGTCAAGGGGCGAGTGGATGGGGAGCAAAGAGGGTGCGAGCGGAAAGCTCAAAACTCCCGGGAAGCGGTTTTTCTTGAAGTTGGCATCAGATGCGGTTCAGGACGTCAATGCGCAGAGAGACAAGAATGGATTGTCGTACGCGCGTAAGGCAATGATACGAACTGGAATGGCGATGAATGTCAACGGCGTCTGGGAAGAGAAACAGCTGTTTTCGAACCTACAGGCCATTATCGCGAAGCACGGCAATCACTTCAATGGTCAGCCAATCGAGTAGAGACAATAAATTACATTGGGCTGTAATCCTATCTCGCCCAATATTGAACTGAAAAATTAATCTGGTCCTGCCTATTTATGAACAACCCCCTAAATAATGTAGGTTCAAAAATACCGTGGACCAGATTATTTACGGTGAAGCCTTAAAAAATCAGGTTCGTTAATAATCTGGTCCAAATTAAATACAGTGATTAGGTGTAGCTGTTTATAGTTGTATGTATAGTCCTTCAAAGTTCTACTTCATAAAAATTGTGCTCCTTTTGTTCTAAACTTGCGAAATTCCTAAGTTTTGTTTAAATTTTACTGTATAGAATTTGACCTTATATGAAGTCAAGAATGACCTCATATGAGGCAATGTGCCGGTCGTCTAGACACTAGCCCACACCATTGCACAATGTGTTACAAGTCGGTGATTACGGCGGCTGTCAGATTTGGGGGTGTCTTGAATTGATGTATTACTAGTTCCTGTGTTTGTTCGTGCGTTTTATGTGCTGTACTACCCATTACCTCCGAATCTGCACTCAGCTGTTCAAGGCTCATTGCTGCTTGCAGAAGCTGGAGTACAGGTTGTGACCGATCATCGAGACATATGGACTCAAATCAGTGGCCAGTTGTAGAAGCGCAGTAGGCAATCGAGACAGTTCATCCATCTAAAATAGGATGAGGTTCAGAGCATCAGAGTTATGGAGGTTATAGGACATTCGATCTCCAAACTTGCGGTCAACGTTTTCTTTATACGTAAACCACCGTAAGCAGCCGAAAAAAGTCTTTAATTTCTATTCTATAATGGGCCAAGCAGGGAATGCCAGCAACACTTGCAGCTAGTGTCTATTGGACGGACGTTTTTGATCATGAGGATTTTTCCTGTCTGTCAGAGCATTAGAAAGACCCTCCTAAATACCGTGCATTCTAGGTGCCTTCAAGGGACTTGGACATTGTTTTTTACTCTTACTGTTAGAGCAAGGCAACCAGTGCGCTAATTTATAGCGCACATTTTTAGCCATGCAGCGCTCTAAAGAGTGCGCAACACAACAAGTGCGTCGCCATATGTGACGGCCCGCAAGGGGCCGAGTATTAGTTTTTCCCAAGTTTTTCGCCAAGACAAGGGGTCTGAAGCACGGCGCATATAGCACTCGAAAGATGATTGGTTATAGTGATTATGAAATATCGATGAATTCTGAGTGATCGCGTGCTATATCCATTTCTATCCTGCGCCAGGAAAGAAACGAATATAGAGATAGGTGCTTCCAGATAGCAACCGAAAAAAGCGATTAGCGCACCAGTTGACATGCCAACAGGGGAAAATCTCTAAAATTTCGAAATTTAGCGCACTGGTTGCCTTGCTCTTAGGAACGGCCCTCATGGGAATAAAAGAAAGGCGGCCTAATAGCAGTACGGCGCGGCAAAAAAGCCTCATACAGTATGAGGCGAAATCCTCAAATGAGGCGCATTGTCCAATAGACACTAGAGATGCATCGAGATTTCGGGTGTCCATCTGGCCAACAATGCATCAGTGCCCGCCCATTCTGCGCTCCCATTCGCACTCAGCCACCGGCTAGCCAGCCCTGACCCTCGCAACTACCTGGATAACTTATCCCGTTTCCTATCCGTGTGCCGCACCTCACCTCTATCCCAAGCGGGCTGTACCTCCTTGTTGCCGCCTTGTTGGACGCGCGAAAGGCGCCGCGGGGGTGAGTCGCCCCGGCTACATTTGCTCGGCTTTAGAGTCTGAATGACGCCGTAAACAGGCCCCGCGTGCAGCGTCCAACGCTGCGTTCCCCGGCCCCTTTGAATTGTCAAAGCGAGCATGCTGGGGCCGTACAAGCCCGGGCTGTATTTATACCTTTGCAAGCCCTGCTCGTCCTAAATCGCCTCAGAAGTGCTGTAGCTGGGGTTTCCCGGTCCTCCTTTGCCTGCCATGTTCGACCGCGAGAGCAAGCTCGCGCGGGAGCTCAAAACGCAGATGCGCGACTGCGTCAATGACCAGAAAGGGCCTGCTCTTATCGAGTCAGGCAAGCCGCTGGCCTTTCTGAGCTATGTCCAAATCCCACCTGCAAACCGGAGTAAGGGCAAGTCGTGGCCGGACAAGCTAGCGGCCGAGCTTGCGCACGTGCTGATCCACACCAATATCCGGTGCGTGTGGATGGACAAGATGAAGTACCCCGACATCGTCACGCTGGGCGTCGCGTCTGGGCTCAAGCCATACGCTTGCCCGCAGGGATACGTCATCGTGCGTGGAGCTTTCGGCCACCGCTACGCCCCGTACCACTTCGTCGCCTCGTGCGGCTCGTACATGGAGATGGTCGTGCAGCATGTCATGGAGATGCGCGAGGAGTACTTCACGCTGCGCTGGACCGCGTCCTCCCGCCTGTGGCCGTCGGCTGAGGTGGCCGTCGGAGTGATGCACGGCCGTATCCTCCCCACGCGCCCCACCGTGGACGCGTGCAAGCTCCTTCTCGACGTGCTCAAACGTGCCATCGCCAAGCTCAACTCGCCCGACAGTACAGTGGAGAAAGACATGGGCTTCTCCTGTTTCCGCAAGAGCGTCCGCTGCAAGGCGTGCGGACACAAGAACCGTATCCCGGACGAGGTCGACTGGAAGGCCGTATGTACAGGCGTCATTGTGATCCGCGACCGTGTGCAGACTTGGCTCAACATGATTGTGAATTGCAACGGCGGCGTTGCCGGCCGTTTCCTCACAGACTACATCGTGGGCCCGATGTGGACGGCCGACTGCTACGAGGAGAAAGATCGCGTCCCCGTAGCCTCGCTCACACATTTTCTATGGCTACAGGCCGGTAGAGGCGGCACGGAGCTGGCGCGTCACTTGGAAAAGCTGGTTAACAAGCCTGAGGCCCTCACAAAACGGTTGCTCGCGTGCGTCGGGCCGCGGCGGCACCCACGCTTCTGGTACGAGACGTACGAGAAGATGATCGACCGCATCGTGGTGCAGCTCACGCTCTCGAAGAGCACAAAGCACGGGACGCAGACCGACGAGTGGGCTAATGCCGTGTGGTTCTACCCTACGGAGGGCGCGGGCTTTTTCGGTGACTTGACGTTTTCACCAGGCAAGAAGCTCGTCATGGACGCATTCCGCGAGGAGGCAGATGTTGACGCTATAGAGTTCTCTGCAGAAATTATCGTGAACCAGCAACGTTCCCTATGGCCAGTGGTCGGCGGCACACTGCCATGGTACTTTACCGAGTGCGAGGGCGAGGAAGTGGTGCTAGTGCCCGCGATGCACGCCCCCAAGATGCTTTTCGGGCAGCTTATGGGGCAGCAACTCGGAAAGCTGCAGTACGTGCTGGAGGCGGAGATGCCTGCCAACCAGCTGGTCGTACAGATCCCGATCGGCGGCATCATCAAGACGGTGACATTCTCGCGCGCCGAACAGGAACTCTACTACATTGCATTCGTGATGAAAGGCGAGCGTCTGTCACTCCGCGCGATGCGCCCGTGTCACTCGTCGGTCAACAAGAGCTGGTGCAATATCGAGCCCACGAGCGTAGTGTATCGCGCACAAGGGCACACGCCCGAGCAGGGCACGATGTACGGTGCCAATGGGATGCCGCGCGACTACCGCGACATGTACAAAACGTGGGCCGGCCAGGCTGGCTTCCGGCTCCTCGGCGTGCTCGACCGGCGGGCCGTGTTCGACGAGAGTCTTGAAGTGGGCGGCGGCGCGGCGGGAAACCCTGAACGCAGATCCGTCGGGTGGAACTGGCTCCCCGTCCCCGACCAGGAGTCGGCCATCGGGAAGATCGACCCGCGCGTAGTCCGTGTGCTCTCCGCGTGGAAAGAGGTGTGGCTATGAGGGGAGAGGCTATGAGGGAGAAGAGAGTGCTCCAGCTCGGAGCGGGCGCGACATGAGATGTGACTAGCAGCCAGAATATGTAGGATGGCACTTTTCACGGTGCCAGCCAGTCGGCGCATTTGCAGGGGCTTTCAACACGGCGCACGCGAACTGTACCCGAAGGGTACCCTTCGAAGGGTACCCTGCGCATACTGTACTGTAGCTACAGTACGTACAGTAGGTGGTCAGGTCTATAGACCACGAAGATGTACTACTTTCCACCGCGTTCCGGTCTCCATGAATCTCCTAAATGTCGTGTCTTCCCCCGAATATCGCCTTTCTCCCTCCGTAGACTTCCGCCCAGCATTTCTACTGCTCGCTGCTGACCGGGCCCAAGCCCCATATCTCCAGCCTTAACGTGCCTTGTCTAGCCTCGCGCATATCCGTTAGTCTGTTGCTCCACCGCCACCGCTACTCCTGCTCTCCCCCTCTTCCTCGAAAGTCCTTCCCTCCTGCTCCTCTTCCGTACTGGAGCCGTGCAGGGCGTGCAGTCGTGCACCTTCCGTGTTTGCCTTCCCAGCACCACGTGCGCGCGGCGTGCGTCCCCACGTTGCGTGAAAGAGGCTTGATTTTGGGTGGATGGTCGCCGATCGCACGAAGTACGTGTGCGCGAGGGCGGGGCTGGAAAGGGAAAGCGCCATGTATCCGCAGGTCAACAAAAAGGAAGCTGGGTGGCTACCGTGCAGCCAGGGTGAGGCGTTTCACAACATGACGAGACGTCGCAGCGTGGAAGTTGAGGGTCATCGTGGAGGACTGGCGCGTCAGGAGGTGCGGGGATTGAGTGTCGTCGGGGGACCGTTGTGGCAGAAATTGCGTTTAGGGATAGAGTGTTCTCAACGGGGGGCATGTGTCGGCGGGGCGGGGAGGCCGGAGGAGAGGGCGTGCGAGTTGGACTGGACAATTAGGCCCATTGCAAGTTTGTGCAGCAGAGACGACGACGCCGAGAAAATTTACTCTTCTGTGAGAGGTAAAGAGACTGGGGACGCCTCGGGAGAGGAACTATTTGTGAACCGCAGCCCTTTCTGTGCGTTGGTGCACTTCGCCGTTGGAGTTTTTGATGTTCGATCCAGCACTCATAAATGGCGTTTTCAAAAGTGCCCTCCTCATCCCAAAAAGTGTTACCTTACACATAAGCCACGTAGCCCAGCGTTTACGTGACAACGCTAACAGTCGTCGTACACCTTAAGTGTAGGGCGACGGCTCCCCCCCCCCCCCCCGGAATAAATGGTTATCGGGTTCAGAGTATCAAAAAGTGCGATACGGATATTGACGTATTCCAACTTTTCAGTACTCTCATAATCTACGATCCAGCACTCAGCACCGCTTGTCCCAAAAAATGCTGAAAATAACTTTAATTCTGATGAATCGTAATCCTCATGGGGTCGTCTTTACTCGTCGTCGCCGTCTCATGGGTCTAAGTACCGCGAATCACAGACTGTAATGCGGACAGTCTGTCCTTGCGGTCCGTCAAATTCCCCAATCAAGGTTGATGTTGGTGACGCCTTTACATCACTACACATTCTTTCAAGAGCATTGATGTTTGTACTTAAATCGTGAACAATTTGTTGACGCCTGAAGTCGTCACGAACCGGAGCATAGGGATAGGGGTACTCTTCGACCCAGGGAGGAAGAATTGAGGTGTAGAACTGTACCTTCAACAACCAGCAAGGCACCACGCTGGCAAGATTGAAGTTATCATATGTTTTCTGTGCCAGGCAGTTCTATTGGCTCTACATCGGTGTGGTGACTGTAATCCACAGAAAACCGGTCTACTGTTGCCCATATCAATTCTCCTCGCGAGAACTGCTGTGCCGACTGCGAAACAACCTGTCTGCCTGTGCGGCCAGGCATTTTTTAAAAATTTCCCTTTTTAAAATATTTAGGAGTTAACATTTTATTTTATTTTATTTTATAATCTTTATCTCAAAATCGTTCATGCAATCTGACTTAAGCCTCCTCTCGCATCCAAAGCCGGCTCTCTAACATTATACCCCTCCGTAGTCATTTCCGTCACTGCTAGAACCGCAGCCCTCTTTGCAACCCTGTGGCACGAACTCTGTCCTTTATTCAATCACATTCATGTTCTGATTTCTCATCCTTCCGTCCACGACACGCTCCGTTTATACATGCGCTTCGAATCGCGGTTGGACAGTCGCCCATTGTTCACTTGTCTATCCTGACCTTTCTTCTCACCGTCAGGTTCTACGCCCCTGTCATCAAACACTCTACTGGGCGAAAAGTGCCTGGTTATCTGCATTTCTTCACGGCGTGTACGCCAGTTTGTTAGACTCAAACTGGAAAAGCTTCTGCTGCTCCAACTGCCCGTGCTACTGCTTGTGGAGCGATTTGACTGCGTTGTGGCAGATGACGTCCGTTTACGGCCGGGAAAGGAGAGTCCTTCTTGCGCTCTACGCTTTTCGAAGCGCTCGGACGCGAAGGACCTTGCGATCTTGCGAGGGAGACGGTCCCCTTGGCGATTTACAAAAATTGTACTCCGGACTCGGCGTCCGCGCCAGGAATTGCCAAGACTCATTTCTGATTTCAGTCCTTGAAACGAGATGGTATGGCTCGGCAACAGTTTCGAGTCAACATCCAACTTGTAGTCCTGTAACTCTTGCCTCAAACGAGCACTGTCGTCAACGGAGCTTGACTTGTCCTGAGACAGCATGAGAGATGCCCGTGCAGGGAAATCCGTCATTGCGCTTTGCACGGGCTGGGAGGAATCGCTCTTGAGAGCATCAACGACGTCAGCAAACTGTGGCATTCTCTTACATGCAATGACCACTCTATGCAACGTTTCTGCCACCTTCAATCGGACGTAAGCAGAATCGTCGGCAGCTAGGGCAAAGAAGTGAGGCGCAAAGAGCTCGCAGTAGAAGCGTGCAGAGAATACTTGACATGCATTAGCAAGAGTATCCACAAGAGGTAACTGCCTCTTCTGCCCGTTTATACGTGCATTGAAACAGAAATCAGAAATGAGCTTCTTCTGATTCGGGATGTCTAGCGTTGCACGGATCAACTTCAAGAATGCTGTTCCAGCAGCATTCCTTACTGCGGCGCTCTGACTCCCGAGAAGACGGGACAGCAATTCAACCATCCTGTGCTTTTCTTGAAACGTCAGGGACTGGGCAGCCAACCCCACCTCAATTGAAACTGTTTCGGCTCTCACTAGGCCTTCGGGCGTATCATACTCATCAGAGCATAATACTCGCAAATTCAGGATAGGTAAATTGCAGACCTCACTGAGCACATCGAGGGTCACATGTAGCTTTGAGATAAAAGCGTGACGAACCTCAGATGATTCGTCCGTCAAAAACCCATTTGCTATATCGCAAATTTCCCTCTTACGCTCTCCGACGAGGTAGCCGACAGAGTTGTGGAAAACATTGGCCAAAGCCACTCTCACTTGCACTTCCGAATCAATGGCCATGCGTCGGATTACTGAAATCAATGTACGCATCCGTCGTTGTCGGATTCTTTTTGAAGGGTGAAACAAAAGAACAGCGACAGATGGGAGGTGAGTGGCGCAGTTTGTCCTAATATGAGGGTTGGCTGATGAAGACAAGATCTGGAGAACTTGTAGATAGCTCGAGTCTTCTTCTTCGCTCGAAAAGAGAGAGAGGATGGTGGAAATATGCTCTGAGATTTTAAGTAGGAGATCGGATGAATGTCCTTGTTGGGAGTTAGCCCCTTCGTTTTTCTCCAGAACAAAGTCGACAACACGTCTACTCAACGTGAGAGCATGCCGACTTGCCTTTCCCTCTCGCATTGCAAAGCGAGAGAGTATTATCGCCGCTTCAAGTGCATTTTGGAGCACCGCAGTACGAATCTGCTCATCTACATGTCTCTTGGGCATACTTTTGAAACCTCGTTCCAGTGCGTTGGCCAGGGATCCGTGTGAAAGCCCCTTTTCTCTTCCAGATCCATCCATTGTTTGATCTATTTCTCCTCGATCAGCCTGTTGTATTGATGGAGTCCATATCCACACGATTTCTCGCCATACTCGCTCATTTAGGTACGATTGGGACCTTCCTGCTTCCGCCATCGACGATAAGGCATGTGCAAATTGTTGGCATACAAAACCAGATAGTCGCCATTGGACCTTTTGAACGGCGAGGAAGAGGGTCAGTACTCTTGTAGAGATCTCTAGCGCAAAAAAGGTAGGGGCCATTTCGAGGGTGGTGATACCGCAAAGAAGATTCGTTGCACCCTTGATTTTAGCATCTCGGATCTCATGGGCCTTTGCAGATTTCACTGGGGCACAGATTTGGTCATAGAATTTGACCATTGAAATAAGATCGTGCCTACTCCATTCTGTCTTAGGGATATTCATGAAGAGTATATGGCTATACAGTTCTATCAACTGTGACAAAGTAGATGAGCTTAAGTCTGCGGCTCCCACAAGTGACTTGTCCAGAGTGCACACCATAATTTGCATAGCGACTGTGCAGAGTTCTTTGGAAAGGTCAACTGAGAGGTCGTCAAGACCTTCTGATAAAAGCGTTCGCGCTATTGAGATTTGAAGAGAAGAAAAGCATTGTTTCAAAACATGAAGCATCGTCGGCACGCAGTACAACAAATATTCAGACCGACGCTGCCGCCCGAGAGTTTTTAAATAGGGTATCATCGTAATCCTCTCCTCGTCGCACGAATTTTGAAACGATGACATAAACTCCTGTGCATTGGTAGACCTATCGGAGTTAGCTGGATAGGATTCAGATAGGCCATTCTCAAAGGGTGTGTCCGAGACAAAATTAGCGTCTGACATCAGTGTTTCATGAAGTTGAAGGGCTGATTGAATGTTTAATTCCTGTCAAAAAGATGTAGAAGACTGAGGGTGGCCGATGGATGAAAGAATGGGCGAGGCTCTTGAGGCGAGTTGTCGAGCTTTTAGAATCGACCGAAATGACTGTCCTGGCTGAGGCACATTTCTTCCAAAAAGAACGACGATGCAGTAACTGCTGAACATTGCCATGTGCTCCTGAATTAGATAGAGTGTGAAATGATTGAAACTTGCCCAACGTGCGATCTAGCAGGGGTACAGAGATGTCATGCAAAGAGCAACTGCAAGGCTGTGTTTGTTGCGTTCCCGTTGTCGTCCTTCTGCGTTGTCGCCAAGGACTCTGTGCCACTCTCAGGAGATCAATTGAAGATGAGGACTGAATGAACTTTTTGTGATGCTAGGGGATTATGGCCGTGCCTGGTCAGAATTGCATCGCTTGTTCTCAAGTTGGGAAAGCAAGGGTATCAAAAACCAGAATGGTCCATTTCAAAGTAACACAAGTATCTGGCGTGAGATATTTTCGCGTCTGAAAGAAGTTAGCAGTAGAAACGCGTTACTCTACACGAAAAAGTAG